CTTTGTTGTTTGGTGATGTGTTACGTGGCGTGTTGTTCTGCAAATCGTTTCTAATGCCCGCGCGCTGGAAATCACTTTGCGGATGCCGTACACTAGGAACCAACTTATACACCGCCACAGAAAGTCTGTTGTAAAGCCGCACGGCAGGATTCTAGTTGTAATGCGCACAATAGGAGTCAACATGAACATTCTCCGCGCAAGGAATCCTACTGTACAGCCGCATGGAAGAATCTCATCTATAACCCGCACACTGATAAATCAAATAGTACATCGTCCACGAAGGCTTTTCTGCTACAAAGCCGCACCTGGGGTTTGATTCATTGTACACACAAGAACAATCAAATGGTCAACGTATCACAAAACGAATCCTAAATATAAAGCCAGACGTAAATATTTACTTGTAAACCACACACTAGGAATCAGTCGGTACATCCTCCAACAACTGCACCCGATTGTACAGCTCTACAAAACAATTCATTCGTAATCAAGTTGTAGATCGCCCACATCAGGATTTCCTTGTAAAAGGGAACCGTGGAAAAGTAGGAGGAGGCAAGCAAGAAACAACAAACATCGGAACATCTTATCTTTCTGACGTTGATGTGTGGGGGGTGGGGGGGTGGGGGCAGCAAAAAGGGCGCCAACCTACACATTCTTGTTTGCCTCCTGCCACACTTTTGTTCTGGCGCCCTTTGAGGGGAAATCCTTGTGTTGGGGATGAAGACATCGATTAGTATTGTGTAGATGGCACATGGAAATTTTAGTGTAAGGCTGCACAATCTCTTTTGTGGATTATTTGCAAATTTATATTTGTTGTGGACGTTGCGTACGAAAATCTGTTGTGGGCCTGTACAAGAAGGATTCCTGTTGTGCGGGCTTAACATAACAAGAAGCGCCCATTGTGCATGACAAATCGTATCTCCTTTCCCTGGCTTTTCAATGGATTTCTTCGTGGTGGGTTTGCCAATTGAGCCCAATTCAGTGGATTGCAGATGAACTCCTTGTGTGGGGCTGTGCAATCGATTCTTTGTGTGGGCGATGTACGCGTTGATTTATAATGTTTGGCTTATGAGCTTTTTTTCCTGCGTGGCTTTGCCATAGATGCTCTGCTATGCATGTACATCTTGAATATGCTTTCGAAGTGACCTTGCAATTATCATATCACGGGCTTCGCAATGGAATTCCTCTTGTGGGCGATTTGCACGTTGATTCATATCGTCAGGGTTCCCAATGCAATCCGTGTGTGCGACTTCGCAATCGGACTCCTTTGGCTGGGAATTTACATATTGCTTTCTAATGTTTGTGGTACATGTGAAATCCTGGTGTGTGGTTTGAATTCAAGTTCATTTGTCGGCGCTTTACGCATTGATGTTCGTGATGTGGAGTGTGAACGAAAAAAACCACAACACACATATTTATATATTAGCATATGTATATATGATACCGGAGAAAAGCCCCAATCAGGGCTATAGGGCTAGGGGGCTATTGAGCTATAGGGCTAAAGAGCTATAGGGCTATAGACTTGTAGGGCTACAGGGCTATAAGGCTTAAGGCTATAGGGCACCCCTGGGCACGCCCGGGCACGCCTGGGCACGCCCGGGCACCCGGGCACCGCCGGGCACCCCCCGGGCACCCCCCGGGCACCCGGGCACCCCCGGGCACCCGGGCACCTGGGCGTGCAGCGAAAATCGGCCACAAACCTAACCAAACCTTATGAATCCGCTAGGACCCTGACAGAGGCAAGCTCTGATTGGGGAATATATCGCTGGAGTATGGCATATATATATATATATACACATATTTGCATGTGTAGAACGATGTGCAGAAGGATCTCTATGCAGCTATATTGGATTTCTCTACAGACGGACATGTATGAAGACAGCTAGAAGGAGCAACGTCAGGTATTTAAAGGTGTGTTTTTAAATCAGCATGGGTATCTGTACATGTATACCGAGTGATACATCGATCTATACTTGGTATGCGTATATACTATAAGCAAAAACACGCGTACTTACATGCACATATGCACAATTGTGTGTATATATACATATATATATATATGGTTATCTCTCTCTCTCTCTCTATACATATATATGAATAGCTGAAGTGATATTCGTACGTACGCACTCTCATACATTTACACATATACGTATACACATATATATATATATATATAAATAGCATTAAATGTTCATATCTTGGCATACGCACTGAATGCTAACAACAGTATGACTATGTAGAAATATACGTGTATGCCTACATTTTCAATATGTATATATACACACTATGTGCGGGCATCTTTCCAATGTCAGTGTAAGCGGCTGGTGTGCATGTTTGCTTTGACGCGCGTGTGCACATTATGCATATGTATATGTATATATATATATATATGTATATATACAGGTGTGTGTGCGTGTATGTACAGATATGTGGAGAGCGAGAGAGGGGGGGAGAGGTTGTCTACTAACTCCCTGCAAAAGTCGTCGTGCACCTCTGGGTTGTAGGGGCTTCTCGCTGGTCCCCTGCCGTCTCGGGCATTGCATAGAGCGTTCCATCCTTCGACAAAGAACGTGCCACATTCCCGCTTTAGCCTGTTGACGACTTCCAGCCAAGTCGCCCGAGTGTTGGCTTTGTAGCTCCACGCCCGCTACCTGGTGATCAACCGGCGGGGCCGAGCGTACAGCGTGTCGTTGTGGTGGTCGTCGCGGGTGTAGCCTGGATCGGCCCGAGGAGCTCTGCGTCCTTCGTGCGCCTCTGAGCCAGCGCGGGGCGGGCCAGTACTTGAGGAGGAGGCTCCCGACCCTTGGTAGTTGGCCTAGGGGTTGGTGCGTTCAGTCCTGATGCGGTGGGGTTAGCTAATGCACTCTCGCTCGCCCGTCCTGGGGGACTTTCGCGCTCGTCCATCGCTGGGTTCGCTCGTCGCGGCAGGCTCGTTCACTGTGCTGCCGCTGCGGCGGTCGTAGGGCGGGGCCCGCCCGCGTCCGCCCCGGCTACGTTGCTGGCCACTGCGGCCTGATCATCTCGTGGTGGCTGGGTTTCCGGCCGTCCTGCGTCTGCTGGGCCAGCGCTGCTGGCCGCCGCCTGGGCGTGGTCGGCTGCGTGGGGCTCCGCGCTGGGTTGCGCCCTGGGATCTTGATCCGGGGCGCCGGCGTCCTGCGGGCTGCCGTCGGGACGGCTCGGCGGCTCGCCACTTCCAGCGGGTGCCTTCTGACCTGGGGGCGACGGGGCGGTTGCACGGGCCTCCTGGGCAGGGGAGGGCTTGGGCGGCGCTTCGTCGGAGGGTGCAGAGCTGGCAGGCGGTGCCTTCGAACACGCGGCGGATGCGACGTCTGCTGCACCGTCGCCTGCCTCTGGGCCAGGGTTCCCCTGCGGGCCTCTGCCTGGGGCGGGGCTTTGGCCGCGGTGGCGCTGCCCTGCGGCAACCCACAAAACAAGCACGGGAGTGTCCTGGAGTCGAGTCGGCTAAGAGCGCCCAGTGGCGCTCCACAAGATCGCGCGGACAGGGCCCCAAGAGGTGAGCCTTCTGGGCTCAGACGGGGCGGGGCTCACCAGGGAGCCTCCCTTCTTCGGCAGACGCCTTCCACTACGTACGGCCCCAAGAAGGCCTCCAAAGTCTCCAACGGGACCCAAGGGAGGGCTCCGAGAGTTCCAACATTGTCCGAAGATGGCTCCAAGATGGTTTCAAAAGGCTTCAAACGTTGCCCTCATTACTGCCGTCGTCGCCCCCTTCCCCCTCCATCCTCATCATGATTGTTTTCCTGCTGCTGCTGCTGCTGCTCCTCCTCCTCCTCCTCCTCCTCCTCCTCTTCCTCCCATCTCCCTCTATTTTCTCCTCCCTCCTCCCCCTCCGTCCTTCCCCGACGGCAAGCGCAGCAATCTTCTGGGTATGCCTGATCGACTCACCTGTCTGTTCCACTGGACCCAGACTCCCCAAATAACCCCAAGGAGACCCGTCGAGAGGTCCCAATACGCCCCGCAACAATCCCCGAGACGCTTCCCAAACGCCTCATCCTCCTTATTCTGCTCATCATACTCTTCCATATCGTCGTCATTGTCCTCTTTCGCGGAAGCAGCGGCTCAGTGATAACACATCCACTGTCATCGAATCGGTGCCAAACGCAGTTGCTCCAGCTTCGACGTCAGTCTGGCGAGCTCGATACAATTTTCTGCTATGCTGGTGTCGGCGGAATGGCGTACGGCGTAAACTCTTGAAACAAGAAAGCAACACGCTTCCAGAACTGCCGACCTACTCGCCTATTTCGCACCGTCCCCTCCCCTCGCACCCCTTCCCTCTTTTCGATCCTCCCCTATCATCAGCTCCTCCCCTTCCCCTGGCCTGCTCCTCTCGAGGGGGCATAGGGGACGTATGACGGTTGGGCGTGTTGCAGACAAGTGCCCACGATCAGAATACGGTGAGTTAGGTTCAAGCAGCCATGATATCAATGAGGACAATGACTGCACCACTGGCGAACAAAGGAGAGTGACCATGTGGCTGCGACGGCAATGGCGATGCCATGCCTCACACTTTCCATGAACATGCATCAAGGCGCACACAATGTATCAATACATTACTTCACCCTGAGCTACGGTGCAATGACTGTTCAAGGGCAGCTATGTAGGGCAGCTATGTTCGCGCTTCGCGCTGCGCCAAGCGCGAATCATTTCGCACTCTTGCGCCGCCCCCCAAGGGGGGAACGGGAGGACAAGAAGGAGGAGGAGGAGGGAGAAAGAGGAGGAGGAGGAGGAGGAGAAGGAGGACTAAGAATGAGGGGAGCAGACCGGGAATCGCCAATCACTTCGCGCCCTCGTGGCGGCCTCTGTTGTTCAGCACGGCGCGATGCATCGAATTACACGGCGCTGCTACACCACAATTTCGCTTCACTGCGCTGCAACTTCTGGCCTCGACGGCGTGAGCCCTGGACCCTGCCACCGCGAACAAAAACCCTTCCAACGTTGAACAACCTCCGTTGCCGGGGAACCCCAAAGGTTGTCGACCTACCCTTTCGAATGGGTCTCGTGGCGTGGGTTGCTCTCCGTTGGGCTATACGGCCAGGAACGTTTGCTTAGCGTGTCGCCACGGCGGCCCTGGCGACACGCTATGCCCTGCGAGCGGACATCCTGTCGCTCCGCTTCGCGGGCTGGGAGAGTCAGAAAGACTTGGGACGCGGATGCCTGGGGACTGGGACGTGGATAGCGTGTTGCGCCGAAGCGTGGTGGGCACGGTCTTGGGACACTGGAGGCCCTGGTCGTCCGAGACGTCCTGGGAGAACTGCCCGAGTCCCAAAACCGTGCGGTCACCCCGAAGCCCCAGTGACTCACCACACGGTGTGGTCACCACACCGTCTGTAGAGGCCTGCTCGATGGGGTCGGAGTTGAGTAGATGAGGTCGGAAGATCGCGCCGCATCGCCGATTCATCGGCGATGCATCGGCGATAAAACTGGTGACGTCCGCGATGCATTGGCGCCGTCGGCGTGGAAAAAAACAGGCTCCACATCGAGCCGCATCGCTGATGCATCGGCGGTGCAACGCGATCCGTCGAACCCAGTGGGCCCCTGGAGCGCGCTCAACCTTGAACGCCCGCCGCCAGATCCACCCATCGCCGCGCTGGTGCGACGCGACGGGCCCGCCGCCTGTCCCTGACATCAGCCGATCAGGCTCTTTCAATCCGCGGCCACAGAGGTCTCGATCGCTTCTGGGGGGCAATCTTTCGTCCCAGGTCCATTTATGGGCCCCCTGGGCCCGAAAAGAAGCATGTTTCTCTATATTCTGGCAAGTTTACGACGCGACAACAACAAAATGACCGACCGAACCGAACCAACCGACGCAACTGACTACGACAAAGCCGAACCGACCGAACCGCGAACACCCCTGGGGCCGTGGGCCGTGCACCGCACAGCCGTGCACCGCGCCGAGGCGGCCGGCCGAGGCATCCCCGAGGCCAACCGCGCCCCGTGCAGCCGAATGGCGCCTTGAGCCCCCGCGGCGCCGGCGGCGCCGCCGGGCGGCTGCGGCCGAAGGGCGCCGCTGCCGCGGGGCCCCGCGGCGGCGGCGGCGCCGGGCGTTTGCGGCCGAAAGGCGCCGCTGCCGCGGGGCCCCCGCGGCGGCGCGGCGCCGGGCGACTGCGCCTAAGGGCGCCGCTGCCGCGGGGCCCCGCGGCGGCGGCGGCGCCGGGCGTTTGCGGCCGAAAGGCGCCGCTGCCGCGGGGCCCCGCGGCGGCGGCGGCGCCGGGCGTTTGCGGCCGAAAGGCGCCGCTGCCGCGGGGCCCCGCGGCGGCGGCGGCGCCGGGCGTTTGCGGCCGGAAGTCGGCCAGGAAGGGTGCGTGCCCCTCGTCCGCCTCAGGGTCCAGTAAGCGGGGACTTTTTCTTCCCTCATAGCGTTTCGGTAGAGGGTGCAACAAAAAGTGCAAGACCCTGAGATCCTGGCTACACATCTTTGTTCGAGCTGGGCGTTTACGCCCAAATTCGGGCCCCGGATCCCTTACATATCCTTCCGGCTCGGAAACATGGCGCAGAAAGAATGGGTCCAGAGCTCCGGTCGTAATCTTCTAATGTCTCATCTTTTTCGATACGTCGGGTCTCAAGGAAAGAGACCACATAATGGTGCAAAGGGACAATGGAAGAGTCCCACAAAAAAGACTGGGAGCCCGGGGCCGCCCCCTAGATCGTTTGGTCCGGCAACCGTTTCGCCAGAGCCCTCCCCACAATTCATTCAGGGATCGTGCTCTCGCCTCAATGGCGGCTACATGTGTGGTTCGAACGCCCACGATCCCTGGCAACAAACTCCGCCCACCCTTCGGAGTGTGCGCGACGCTTTTCCGTTTGAGTCGTCGTTGCTGTCGTGATCGTCGCTAGTCCCAAGGAAATTGAAAAATAGGGGAAAGGAAAGAGTTCTTAAGTCGACTCCCTTCGCTTTCTCCCTTCCCTGCCGGGGGGTGCGGGGGGTTGGGGGTGGGTGGGGGGTGGGGGTGGGGGGTGGGTGGGTAGGTGCGGGTGGGTGGGTGGAGGCTTAAAACAAATACCTTGTAATTGGATAGGTTGGAATGAATTTCGCTACCAGCGCTTGTTTGTATCGTTTCTCATACGATGTAAAGCTCACTGGTTCGATGCTGTGAACTGCACAGGATGAATGAATAGCGCCAGCGGAAAGAACTCATCAACGCAGATGCTAAGGACGATGTAATGTTCTATGTTTGCAAGGCAATCAAGGCAGTGCACAGGCCAGAATGAGGAGGAATGCGCAGCATGGGGAGCAATAGGCGAATACTCCTTCTCCACACGCTCCTCATTAACCATTTCCCTCCTCCCCCCCAGTTATCAGCACACTTACTCCTCGTCGTGGCAGGAAGAGAAGATCGGGCGAACGCAACGAAAACAAAGAGAATGGAAAACGGTGGTCATGGGCATAATAGCGAGACGGCGATGGGGATGAGGATGTGGATGAAGAGGAGGAATCAGGAATCTGCGGACTTTGACCCAATAATGAACGTGCCAAAATAATGGCAAAATATTGTGTCGTTATCCTGCTCCTCCATCCTCGACATATCTCCTCCTCGTCGGGAAACGGAAGGGTGGACTTGCGATGCTATGGGGTCAGCACGAGTCGGCATGAGGATGATGATAGCGGCGGTGGTGGTGGTGATGATGAGGATGGGGATGGTAAGAACAGAAACAAGGAGAGAGGAGGCCTCTGATGGCATGCAATATGTGCAAAAGAAGAGGATGACGCACCCGTCTTCCCATGCCCGCAGACATCATCATCGCTGATAGATGGTAAGAAATACGACGAAGAGAGTCTTGAGAAATAATCTATCCCATCCTGCCCCCCCCCCCCACCGCTGTCATTACTCTCCTCCAACCTCCTCTTTCACACGTCCTTTCCATCATCTGCCCTCCTCTCCTCTCACATTCCTGCCTCCCTACCCCCCGCCTCCATATCCGTTCCTGTTTCCGGTCCTCGCACCTTCATCTGGTCGGAGGATGAAGGTGGGGGGGTAGCGGATATGGATGGCGGTGGGAGTGAGAAGGAGACGGCTCCGCAAATTCCTCGTTCTCCCCTTCGTTATCTACGTTCCACCGTCCCCTCCCATCGACAGTGACAATGGGCAATAATACCCAGTCGCTACGTATACCTCCTTCTCATCCGAAGGTGCAAAGGAGGAGGAGGAGGAGGAGGAGGAGGAGGAGAAGGAGGAGGAGGAGGAGGAGGAGGAGGAGGAGGAAGAGGATGAACAACCCGATGACGAATATGATTGGGGCAATGGGAATACTGGTGAAGAGTACAATTACTTTACTCCTGCATTCCCATCGTTATTTTCATTGTTTTCACCACCCATCCTTATACTCATCGTGCACATTTCTATTCTTTTGTGGAAGGGGGGGGGAACAGCCAAACGATGATAATGGCAAGGGCAGAAGAGGAAGATGATGACGATGATGATTACAATGCGAAAGAAGATAATGGGGCAGGAGGATAAGGAAGAGGTGGGAGAAGATGACGATCAACAACGAACGGGGGGAGAGAACGGGATGGGAGGAGATCGCGAGGGGCCTGGAAAGAAGGAGGAATCTGAGGACGATGACAACGAGGGAGAGGAGGGAGAGATGAACGAGCCAGCGTACAACGCACGTCCGTAGCCATTTTTGGCTCAAATGGGTTGGTGGGGAGGGCTGGGAATTCCTCTCTCACCGCTTGAAGCGGCACTGCTGTACGGCAAACTCCCACTTCTCGCTGCAGTCCATTTTCGTAATGGCGCGTATAGGGGCGCCACATTTGATGCCATTTGATGCCCATGGCAAGGTGATGCGCTCTCTGTCGGGCTTGGCGGGAATACATATTGGCCAGTGGGTCGGCCAAGAGGCTTATCCAACTTGACGCGGCGTTCACCGTTATGAGACACATCGCCCACAAGAAGAATGTGACCTTCTTGGAAAATTTTGTGGGGGAAGTCACTGGCAACCTTGCTAGAGGCGACGGTTCCCCAAGTACATCCACGGTTGATGAGCCAGACAATGCTACGGCATATGAGATGTACGACACCAGCATCATGGACAGCAGTACGGAGGGCGAGTATTGGGTCCCACGGTCGCTGGCTGACAATTGCGACGACCAGAAAATCATCCTGATGGACATGCGGGCGGATCTCATCAACATGTCGTTTGATGAGCCAAATTGTGGTGCCGTCAAGCAGGAGATGGCCACCAGTCACATGGTCGAGCAGCTTCGGTCCTCAAAGAAGGATATGGCTTAGCTCCAGCAGTACCTGGAGTACATGGGTACCAGTGGATTCGCGGGTGCCTACGTGTGCAGCCAACTCCTGCAAGAGAAGCTGAAGGAGGAGAAGGTCATTATCAGCAGCCCCGAAATCACAAAGAGCGCGGAACTCTTTGACATCTTCGGCGGCTGAATTACCATGGCAACTCAAACGGAAGTGGCGGCGCCAAAGGTGGCAGATTTCATCGGCAACGAGGCAGAGGATCATATCGAAGCTGCTAATGAAGAGAACAAAGGTCTCGAGAACTACGGGTCCACTATGGCGGCCAGCAAGTCCACACCGGCAGACGCAGGTGAATTCCGAGGACCCGCTGCCGAAAGTGATGCAGTGCCCCAGAGGATCGTGTATGTTGGCAACGTTGAGTATAAGTCAACTCCTCGACAGTTACATGATCATTTCAGCATGTGTGGGAAAGCCAGCAGTAACACTATCAGTGTGGTCAGGCGTACAGGCAGGCCCACGGATTCAGCTTTCACAGAGTTCATGGGCGAGCAGGGTGCCAACACGGCATTGCTTATGGACGGTGTTGAATTCTGTGGCAGGCGGCTGAGGGTCCACCAGAAGTATCCGAAAGAAGATCCAAGCACCACCTTGTGAAGTCTCGGCGGTTGTGCAGACCGAATGATTGCTCTGTCAAGCTGTTAGCACTCTGACGGAACGGCGCTAGCGCCAGCTGCATTCCAGCTAGCAGTGAGAGAACAGCAGAGGGCTGCGTCAGATGAGAATGCAGGGGAGGGCTGCTAATGTGATGGCCCTGTAGGTGTAGGCACTCACCTTTGTAATGTCTGGCGATCCCAGGAACGATGCCCTCAACAGCGAAGCTAAGGGTCCTTCATATCCAGATACTTTGGACATCCTGTTTAGGGCGGTGGCCATTCGAGTTTCGGCATTTCGTCGTAACGGCGCTGGGCTCCGAGCTCCATCGGAATGAGGAGGCTGATCAGGTCCTCTCTTACCCCAATGCCGCTCTAGAATGGTAGTAGTCACGCGTAGCAGGGGGTGGATGGAAGCAAATGTCTACGGTGCTAGCGAGGCCAGCAACAAGTGAACCAGCTATTCACGGGTATTGTCGCCACTGCTCAGGAGAACACGTTGTTCCTTATTTTTTCAGCACACTAAAAGCAAGGTCAGCTCGATATTTAAGTTTGGAAAACAGGCGTTCAGGTGCAGCGGCGCAACACCGCCCAATGCTGCCACTGTTTATCTCCTCACCTTCTCAGGAGGAGGGAGGGGGAGGGGGAGCGGATGGTTTCGAGTATTGTTGTGTGTGTGTGTGCGCGTGTGGGAGTTGCATATGCGGGTTGCGCGTCCCAAACCTCCGCAGGAGATGGGTGCGGTACACTCTGAAACACCTCTGACATTTAGTCGTAACGGCATTGGCCCTTTATTCCAATCGTGCTCCCAATCAGTCCAGAAAGCGAGGCTGTCGCGCTCAGGGTACTTAAATGACAATGCTGAAGGTCCTCTGTATCAAATCACAGCAGCCATCATTGTTCTTAAGCTGTTGGTATCTTCGCTGTTCAGGTCCAGCCTCGCTCAAGCCAGGGTGCAAAATAACTGAACCAAGCTCAGACACCGGCCCACTACCTTAAAGCATGTTCTTACCCTGGGGGAGGGGGAGGCAAAGGTTTATTGGCGCAGGCGGGGGTGTGGGGGACCCACCAGCCCTCAGTGGCAAGAGCTGGCCGCACCTCGGTCAGCCCAGAGGCATCCATAGCCTCGGGCCCAGAGGCTTAGCCTCTGAACCCTCTCTCTCTCTCCCTCTCTCTTCGGGTTGGATTTGAGCTGTGTGCGTGCTTGCGTGTTCTGCTCATCTGGGCCGTTTGTTGTGATCGCGATTGCGACGTACAACGCGCCGGAATACGACTCGGCTGATTTGTGGTGGTCTTACAAACGGATTCTCTGTGTGGCTGCCGTACATAACGATTCCGATTCTGTGACGGCATTACAAGCACGATTATCTTTGGTGTGGTTTTACACAAGGATTCCTCGTGGTGGCGGCGGCTGAAACGATTTTTTCTTGCGGCGGCCTTAACAAATATAGAAAATATTGCAGCCTTACGAGCATGACTTTCTTGTGGGCAGCCGTGCATTATATTTTCATTTGTGGCAGCTTTGGCAATCTTTTCCTTTGTGGCGGACTTACACGAGGAGACCCTTTGAAAACCTTGCAAGCGGATTCTATTTGCGACGGCTTTACAAACATATGTATTGTTTACCCTATGAATCTCTTTGTGTGGCGGCCTCGTACACAAATTTTCCTTTGTAGCAGCCTTGCACAAGGATTCTTTTTGCGACGGCCGTGCAACAATATACATTTTGTATCGGCCTTACAACACATTCTTTTGCGACGGCCTTGCCAAACGATTCCTTTCGTGGCGGCCTTACACTCGGGTTTTCTTTGTGGCGGCTTTACATAAGGATTCTCTTCGTGGCGGCCTTACACAAGGATTCCCCGTGTGCATGGCGTAAGAGGACGCCAAGGAAGTAATCATCAACAACAATAACTATTTTTTTCTGGATGCGATGGGGACCACCGCGAAACTCCAACGGTGTTGCCACAACTCCTGCGCTGCCTGCAAGTGGTGCCCGCCTGGGCGGACAAAATCCCCCCCCGCGAAAAGACAACCGCTAAAAGAGGAGCTACCTGTGACAAATATTGCCCAGACGAGCGGACGGGAAAGGAGCGGAAATCCGGGCGGTGATAACGATACGAATTTACCCCAAATCGTATAGGTGCCGCGCCAGGAGCAAGGCGAAGCGAGGGGAGGAGAAGAGAGAAAACCATAAACATGAGCGTGCAGCACTGCCACCACGGGAGGCCTAACATCCGCTGGAGGCACAGCAGCTCCTCTGCGCCGCAACGACTCCCCCGCCGCCCCAGGTGAGCAACAACAACAACAACACATAAGAAGAAATGTGAAATCCAATGAACTTGTCCAAATTGTTATGCGTTCAATAACTGTTAGGTATTCAGTGTTTTTGGTACAGGAGGCTGAACAAACTTATGGCAACACAATAGCTTCAGCCATCGGAGCTCCCGGACGCTGTAAAACACACATGTTCAGCAACTGGAGCTCACAAACGCTGTAGAACGCAGCGTTTCCAGCCATCGGAGTTGCAATATTATGTGAACCACAACGTCTTCGCAGCGTGTGGGAGCTCCGATGGCTGAAAACGCTATGTTTTCATATTTTCAGCATCGGGCACCACAGCCATTGAAAACACAATACTTGTCACACTGTTTTCTGTTGTTGTTTTTTCTGTCCATGGTCTCTTCCTGTATCACTCACAAAACGGAATCCTTTTGTAAGGCCGTCACCAAAAGGAATCCTTGTGTAAGGCCACAACAAGAGGAGTCCTTTTGTAAGGCCGTTGCAAAACATCCTGTGGTAAGGCCGCTGCAAAAAGGACATCCTGTTTTAAAGCCGTCGCGTAGAGATCTTTTTTGTTAAGGCTGCCGCGAAGGACATACTTTTGGAAGGCCACCGCTAAGAGGTAGTCTTTTTCGAAGGTCCTGAAACCGAACAAGTTCGGGTGAACTGCATGGCTGTTAGCAAATGAACCTGACAACTGCACGTTGCAAGGCCCTTCTTCAAAACCGTTGCAGGTGGGTGCGTGTGAGGGGGGTCCCGTGTCAGAACGCCGCCCTCGCCGGGCCGGGGTCCCAGCGAAATGCTGCGTCCGTGTCAATTTCGCTGAGTGCAGCCGTGGGTCGAAACGTTCTCCGTTCTCTCCAGCTGGGGTTTTCAAAGTCCATGCCCTGGTTTCAAGGGCAACGTCAGGGGGGGACCGGCTCAGGGGGGGGGAAACATCGAGCTGAGTCTTGATCGGCGATAGGCACCCGATTGCAAATCCGCACTTTCCTGTGCAGGGTGGGCTATCGGGTCCCTTTCGACCATCAATGGGCGATCAGGGGTCGGTGCGTTCCCCTTGAGCCTATCCCCCCCAATGTTGCCACTGAGCCTCAGAGCCCCGCAAACGTGAACACTTCGCAAAGCCAAGACATTTTAGCGCGCCCGAGGAAAACTGCAGTCGTGGGTCGAAACATTCTCCGTTCTTCCATCTCTCCAACTGGCCGCTCTGGAAATCCTGCATCCGAAAGAGTCGTCATCTCTAGAGAGCGTAACTTTACTTCCGCCAGATTCGGCTGGCGGAGCCACACTCGTTTTGCTTCCGCTGGCCCTCGGCCGAGGAAGCGATGCCCACTCCTCCGAGCCCTCGAAGGCGAGGTCTCTTCTGGAGCGCCCCAACTGGAATATGTTCAGAGTCCACGTCCGGTTGGTCTTCGGAGAGGCGCATCCGCTGGAAGGCATCCTGGGACTCGAAGACCTCCGAGAACCTCCGAGAACCGCCGGGAACCTCCACAGACACCAGACATTGCCCCCGATTGGCCCCCCCTGGCTGGGTGCACACGAGGCTCCCCCCCCCCATGGCGTTGCCCCTGGACTCTTCAGGGCCCTCCCAGACGTCCGACGCCTTGAGTCTCACAGTGCGGGGCCCCAAGAAGCCTGGACCTTCCCCAGGGCCGGCTCTTCATCCTGAGTCGTTCTTGGGCAGTCTCGGGGCCCAGCGAGGGGCCCCTGAGGCCAAACACGGTGGAACACTTCTGCCTGGACTTGCTCGAGGCGTTGGAGGTCTGAGCAGGTAACGCGCCGCGCAGCACCACGCATGGCAATATTAGATATCCTTCCCCCTCTTCCTCCTCCTTCCTGCTCCTGCTGCCCGCGGCTTCTCCGTGGTCCCGCGCCGAGCGTTGCCAGGCGCAGGCTGCCGCCAACGCGCCGAGTGGCCTGTGGCCTGTCGTTCGTTCGCGCGTCTCGGCTTCCGCAGGCCCTGGCCGCCTGCTCCGGCGGCGGCGCCGGGCGAGGCGAGCGCGAGCGCGGCCTCTCCGGCGAGGGCCGCCGCCGCGGGCTCGGCCACCGCGGCGCGCCGTGGTGCGGGGCCTGGCGCGGCGAGGGGCGCGCGGCGAGGGGCGACGAGGACGAGGACGAGGACGAGGACGAGGCGGGGACCTCCAGCCAGAGACGAGATCATCTGCAGGCGAGTTCACCCGGACGAATTTATCCGGACGGGTTCGCCCAGGAGATCGTTGCTCCGGATAAACTCGTGGCGGGAGAAACCGTTCAGGATGAACTGGTCGTCCTCCCTCTGGGAGCCCCGTATAGAAAAGCATCGCATGTTTGGGGAGGTACCTCTAATGGCAATTACAAGGGATCGTGGAGGGATCGCTCCTCCTCCCCTCCCCCCTTCCTCCCTCCTTCTCCTCCTCCCTCCCTCTCCCTCCCTCCCAACGGTCCCTAAGGTCCCTCGGTCAACGAAGACGGCGGTAGGGAGGGGTGCCAACTTACCTCCACAACTCAGCCCTTGTTAACCTTAAGGCGCCAATTTCCACCATCCACTGTTTTCCTCCCCTAAGGGGTGTTGATTCAGGATCGCTTCGTCGATCGGATCGGGAGTAAGAGGCGTCGCACTTTTACTTCCCAGGCGCCCTAGGTCAGGGGACTACGAGAAAGGAAGGTGGGGCAACTAGATACGTAACCGGCAGCGGGTGGACGTAAACGTGGCAAGATGAAGGGCCAGGAAAAGCAAGACGATAAGAAAGGCAGACGAGGCAAATGTTGCGAGTTGGATGGCTGACAAAAGGCGCTTCGGTGCCTCGCGCGGCTTCCTGCGCTTGCTGGCGTCGGGGCTACGCGCGCAGCGACGCGGCGGCCAGACGGTGGCGCGGCGGCCGCGGCTGGACTCTCAGAGGGCCCAGCGGAAGCGTGCAGGGCCACCCCGCAGGGTACTTCACTGCGCGAAATCTCACGGGGTGGCAGCCATGAGAGGACGAAGAGGGGGGGCCGACGGGGAAGGGAGAGGATAGGATAGGGGGTGCAGTGCTCGAGCGCACGAGAACTTCCAGGGACTGAGCCGAGGAGGGGGACTATTGGGGAGCGACCAGAGATCAGAAGAAGGACAACTGCTCCCTGCACGCCCAGACGTCCAGCGTTTTTGTTGTTGAGCTCTTGGTTCTGAAGCATTATGGTTGGCCCCCCACGGTGCCCATGGAATTTTTGGATTAGAGTATCCCCCTGGGGGCCCGCACAGTGTTTTGCTGTAAAAAACCTTGAGCCTCGGACTGCGTCCCTGGCCAGTGGTTGACAACAACAGCGGCTGCCGCGTGAGACTTCTTAGCAGCTTGCGCCGATCAGGCGTGCGAGTTTCAGAAAAGCCTGAGCTTCAGCTCTTCTAAAGGGGGTCATCGGGGTGGCTCTGCCAGGAACAAGGGGAAGGGGGGGGGGGGGATGCCTCCTGCTGCTTTCCGGGGCCGGGGCTGGGGGTCGGGGCCGGGGCGGGGGCCGGGGCTCCAGGCCAGGAGCCACGGCCAGGGCCGCATCTGAGGAAGATATATCCCGAAGGCGAGCACGACCGAAGACGGAGAGGGAGGGCATCGAGGGTTCGGGATATGCATGTTGAGTGACATGCGAGCAGATAAGAGCGAACAGTATGAACATCAATTTTTGTTGAATTGTCATTTTGCGCAATTGTTGTGGACCCTCCGGTGCCCATTTTGATTTTCAACTGACGTGCCCCTCCTGGGGCTTGCACACAGTTGTTTAATAAGAAGGGGAAATACTGAGCCTCAGACGGCGATGCTGGCCACTGAACTACAACAACGGCTCCTGCCTGATACTTCCTCACATGTTGTTCAGAGCCGCACTCTCGCGTGGGACTTTCTCACAATGTATTCGTACGCCGCCGCGGCCACGACACTCAGGAATCACGCTCTCATTCTGGACTTCCTCACGACTCACTTGGGAATCCTGCAGTCGCTCGAAACTTCCTCGCGATTCATGCAAGACTGACGCTCCAATGACCCACCCGCTCGACCCGGCCGCCTGGGCCCGCCTGCTCGGCCCGCCCATGAGGGTCCGCCCACCCGACCCGCCCGTCTGGTTCTGCCACTTGCTCCTGCTCCTACCAACCCTCCTGATGACCTCTTTCGTGCTCCATCCTTCTCCCTCCCCCCTGTTCCTTCCTTCCCTCGTCCCTCCCCTGTCTGAAGGGCTGCACCACCTATTTCCACGTGGCAGGTAAAGAAGGTAGACCCCCAAGGGGGGTACGATCGAAGACGAAGAGGGCGGGCATCGAGGGTTCGGGATATACGTGTTGAGTGGCACGCAAGCAGAAAAGAGCGAACAATCTTGAAATTATGCTTGTCGATCCCCCCTCCGGCGTCCCTATTTCCTTACAATTTATTCGGAATCGAGCTCTCGCGCGGGACGGCCTCACAACTTACAAATGAATCGCGCTCTCGCGTGGGACTTCCTGGCAATCTGTTCGTACGCCGCGCCGTCGACACTCTGGAACCATGCTCTCACTCCAGATATCCTCACGATTTACTTGGGAATCGGGCTGCCGCTCGAGACTTACTCGCGACTCATGCAAGACTGACGCTTCAGCGACCCGCTCGACCTGGGCGTCTGGGCCCGCTCGCCCGATCCGCTCGTTAGTGTCCGCCCGCCCGACCCGCCCGTCTTGTTCTGCCGCTTGTTCTCCTGCTCCTGACCCCCCTCCTACTACTCTCTCTCTCTCTCTCGTGCTCCATCCTTCTTCCTCCCCCTTTTCTCTTCCCTCCGCCCTCCCTTCCCCTGCATCAGGGACTGCGCCGACTACACGTGGCAGGTAAGGAAGATATGCCCCAAAGGGGAGTCAGACCGAAGACGAAGAGGGTGGGTACCGAGGGTTTGAGATGTACATGTTGAGTGACACGCGAGCGTATGAGAGTGAAAACAATCGAAATGGTAGTTGTTGCTGCTGTGCTTGATTGCTCGCTTGCTTGTTTGTTTGATTGTTTGTTCGTTTATGTTTGCATGGATTATTTGTCTTGGTTTTGTCATGAAAACTTTTCATTGCCTTCCGCCTCTGGCGGCCGTTTTCGGACCCCACTGCCATCTGACATGGATCCAGGACGAGATCCTGTCCCTGGGAAAACGTCGGAACCCTTGGGGCCGCGGATTGAACAGATCTCATCGTCGGGTGTCTGGGCACGTGCCTCTCTCACTCGCGCGTGTCGACACTTCAGCCCCCAAGGCCTCGTCGGGACTGATGCCGACAACGGCAGCGGCACGCGAATCTGGCAAGTGCGCAGGCTCACGTTCGCTTTTCCATCGTCGCCGCTGTCGCGACGACATCCTGGAGGAGGCTATCCCTCCGGCCCGGCTCGCGCGAGGCGCAACGATCTTCGCGCTCCTCGCGGGTGACCCGAGCCACCCTTCCCCGTCTCTCCTGTTCCCTCTCCTGCTCTTCCGCCTGCTCTTACTCCCATTTCTTCTTCGTCGTCGTCGTCGCGTTTCCCCCTCCGCATGTGCTCTGATAAGGCGCACGCAGTCTGCGAACCTCTCTACCTGCCCGCCGCTGTCGACGTGCTGCTGCAGCTGATTGGACAAATAACTCTACACACCATCCTGTTGCAAACGATTCTACGAGGAAAACTGAGCTCAACTTCCCTACTTAGCAGGTTTCTGGCCATGAGGAGTATAGTCGTTCTTCATCGTGCCCTCCTCCTGCTCCGCTGTCCCCTCCCCGTCCCTCCCCAGTGATGATGGTCGTGCGAGGCATCCATACACTACCACCATGCCCAGCCAAGGCCCGGGGATGGTGTGAAGACCCTCGGCCAAGAGGGCGTATGCACCGTGCAGGGCCCAGGATGGCTTTGGCAGGCATTGTGGTGGTGATGTTTAGGTGCCTTCTGCGGAACTTACTCTTTCCATTCACAAGAAACACCCAACACATAAACTGTCGGAGGTGCGCGCGGACCTCCGAACATTGATCGGAGGTTGCGGAGTGATACCGAAGTGAAATTCGAGGTGCCCCAGCCAGGAGATCGTTTCGTTTCGCGCGTGACCTGCGTGCGGGCGAGGCGAAGCGAAGCTGCGCGAGTTCGCCCACTGGCTAGGGCCAGGTCAGACAAACAAGGGACGCCCCGATCCCGGCGGTTGTGAAAGTTGTCCCGATGGTTGTCCAGAAGGTTGAACATGTCTGAAAACGTGGGAACATCGCTGTTTGAAGCCACCAACCCTCCATCCCTATAACTGTTGCTAACTTGTAAGACGAACGTCCGCGGCGCGACGGCGAGAGCCGCAGTCTGAAGCGACCGCCACTCCATCCGTGTCACTGTTAAAGCCTTTTGGGGGGCTTCGGAGATTCGTAATTGGTAAACGCCCTGCCCAGCCTAAGTACGGACACGTCGGTTGGTGCGACACAGGGGGGAAGAATAATGGTGAAGGAGGCGGAGGAGGAGGAGGAAGAGGAAAGGAGGAGGAGGGGAGGAGGACGGGGAGGAGGAGGAGGAGGAGGAGGAGGAGGAGGAGGAGGAGGAGGAGGAGGAGGAGGAGGAGGAGGAGGACAGTGAGGACAGTGCCGAGAGCGTGCAGGTGAATCACGAACACGCCTCGAAAAAAAGAACGAGAGAGGGCCCTCATCCAACACGGGGCGCTCTCCGCGCCGTGCGCGGGGCAGGGGAGCAACGGTGCGAGGGTCACTAACGGCGCAACGCCGGGCAGTCCCCACTCGCACCGCCCCCCGCCCGCACCCGCCCACTATTCAGGTGCCTCGGGCTCGGGCGCCTGCTGAGCATCGCAGGCACCCCGAGCGCCGAGAAAACAAGCGGCTCGAGGGGCTCGCCCGCCTTGGGATGCAGGCCCCTTCGAGCCAGCTCGAGCATCGACGCGATGGAGGCCAAGACAGCCCGCTGCACTTAAGGGGCCCTTAAGTGCAGCGGATCTGCTCCTTCCGTGCGCGGGGCTGGGGAGCAACGGTGCGAGGGTCACTAACGGCGCAACGCCGGGCAGTCCCCACTCGCACCGCGCCCCCCGCCAGCACTTCCGCCCACTAGTCAGGTGCCTCGGGCTCGGGCGCCTGCTGCGGCATCGCAGGCACCCCGAGCTCCGAGAAGACGAGCGGCTCGAGGGGCTCGCCCGTCTTGGGATGCAGGCCCCTTCGAGCCAGCTCGAGCATCGACGCGATAGCTCCGTCCCCCCCACTCCCAG